CTTACATATATATATACTTACATATATATAGATATATAGATATATAGATACATAGAAATAGAAATAGAAATATATATATACATATAGATATATATATATATTTATACATATATATATATATATATATATTCTGATAGATACTTACTGGTACATCTGAGCGCTTGAGGCTGATTTAAAGGGCGTGTGTCCACATAGCATTTCATATGTCAGTACACCCAGGGCCCAGCAGTCCACTTCTTGTCCGTAGCCTCTATTTAATATGACCTGCGGAGATAGATACTCTGCCCCTTCCTCATCCCACACGTAGGCCTCAAACGTCGATTCGTTGGGTTTTAATTTGACAGAGGATCCAAAATCGACCAGTCTGGATACAGAAGAAAAAAAAACCCGTATTTGAGTGCTTGTGTTTGCATGATGCTCTGGGGGAGAATATAGGGTTGTATAGATTATAAGTAGCCTGAGATACAGAGGAAAACAATATATTTAGGCTGTTATATATATATATATATAACATCATAAAATCTCATATATCAAAACAAATTGACCCGAAATTCTTGTCCAGGTGAAAGAGTGTCGGAACAGTGGCACGTGGTATATACAGGCCTACCCAACAGTTATTGAGTCACATCAGACTACATCTAGTCGTAGCAGCCCAATTGTTCGACAGGACGCAATCTGACACTCACCTACAAATCGATGAGAACTAGTATGTACATCTCTGTATTTAACAACAAACACATACCTACATACACTTACACACATTTATACGCTACCTCATGTTTTTATCTCCACCCGGCAATAAACTATTTGCCCTCTGATCGCTGTAGGCAGAGCTCAATTGGTGCATGGGCTGAAGTGCGAGTAGAATTTCCGCCATGTAGGATCCTACTTACATATGCATATACATGTATATATACATATACATATACATATACATATAAATATACAAATACTTATATTCATATATACATATACCTATACATTTACATCAGAATGTACATGTACATGTACATGCACACATACATATACGTATATACACATAGGTACCGATATACATATACATAATACATACATACATACTTACATAATACATACATACATACATACATACATGCATGTGTACATACATACATACATACATACATACATACATACAAACATACATACATACATACATACATACATACTCACACACATATATATATATATACATGCCTATATACCTACATACATATCACCAATAACTTAGACCTACCTGATATGTCCATCGCCACCTAGCAGCACATTCTCTGGCCTTAGATCCCTGTAGGCATACCCCAATTGGTGCATGTGCTGAAGTGCGAGCAGTATCTCCGCTACGTAGAAACGCACAATAGGCTCTGCGAACAGACCCTGGTCGTGCATGAGGTAATCCAACTCACCTCCAGGCACATACTCGGTCACGAAATAGAAGTTATTGTTGTCCTGTGGTTGTTGGCGGGGAGGTGAGGTGAGATGGGGTGCTTGGGTTTAGTATGTTGCGAACGCATTAGCCAAAGGAAGACAAAATCGTACATTTATCTGACAGGCACAAGGGTTCAGTTGTATCGATTTGACAAGAGAGATAGACGTTTATTGTTGTCTGCAGTGGGAGGTGATTGGTTTTAATACCTCGAAAACGCCCGTGGGGGGTAGGTATACGTTATGATTGTACTACCAGCCGAAGATTTCAGTTGTACAGTCTTGACATGAGAAATAGAGGCTGGTGTTGTTTATATGTCCAGCAAAAACATAAATATGTGAAATATACGGAAAACATAGTGGGATAGGCAACATCAACATGTGAGACATGACGCAAAACGTATGGGAACACAGTGGGAAATGCAATAAGCAACTAAAAACCCTAACCCTAAACCCTAAACCATACAGCAGGAGATGAAGTTCCTATCGGCTCCACCCGAGCAGACCGAGAGACGCGAATAGGGCTACACGCACTCGATACACACAACAAGACATACGACAGCCGCTGACACACTAGGAACACACAGTGCAATCACATACAACACACCACAGCTGAAACAAGCGGTAGCATTTAGACAGACTAACCCCTGAACCCTAATCCCCAACCCTAAACACATAGCCTCCTATCTGTGGTATACTATACAGCCTACAATACATTTCTACACACCTGGTACAGGCAGCAGCATTTACACTACCGATGCGACATTCACGGTAGTAAGGTGCTGACACGTATCAGCACTTCTTGAATATATATGCCAGTACATAGAGTATGATCCCACACACCTGCAACACCCATCTACCAGAACCTCACAGTCGAGAGTGGATGTTCATTCCCAGTATTTCATATATACAACAGAGTTTATGGTATATCCACACACACCTACAACACCCATCTACCAGAACCTCACAGTCGAAAGTGGATGTACATTCCCATTATTTTATATATACAACAGTTTATGGTATATCCACACACACCTACAATTCGCAGTGGGATGTTCACTACACATGCGAGATTCACGGTGGAAACGTGCGTTATGCAACGTATCTTCACTCCGTTGATTCACTAGAACATAAAATGTTATCAGGTTGCAGGGTTGACTGTTTTAGGTATCTTTTAGGGCTTTAGGGTTTTAGGGCTCGGCTCCACACACCTGAAACACGCAGTAGGATTTGACGGTGAACGGACAGTTGGTGAGTGTAAGTCGCTGTAACAGTCTTTTCTCCATGCGGATAGCCTCCTTTCCCCCGAGCGTTGTCAGAATCTCTTTTGACACGGATTTGATCGCCACAGGCAACCCCGATAACTGTGGGAGATGAAAGAGTGATAATTGTAAATAGTTTCTATAAAAGTATAAACGTATTTGGGTAGATATGAATGAACACACACACACACACACATATATATATATATATTTATATATAATAAATATATATATATATATATTTATATAATATATATATATATATATATGTATATATATATATATATATATAATAAAATAAATAATAAATAATAAATAATAAATATATATATATATATATATATATATATATATATATATATATATATATATATATATATATATATAGATGTATATATACATATTTATATATATATATATATATATATTATATATATATATACTAATACAAATCGAATACAGAAGTATCGGTGCATTTACCTGGGTTTGGCAGTTGGGATGCTATTAGCTTGACCAGTGGTATACGCTCCTGTGCCTGTGAATGGATCAGCAGAACCATTGGAACTGCCAGAAGGAGCGCTTCCGTCTAATAAAAGCAATCAAATAGAGCATTTAGGTAGCATATAAATATCCATACTAGCAGCGACAGCAAGAGACATATGCGCAGGTGCATCGAATACTGCACTCGTACTTATGCCTCCCTATAAATAGCAGGATGATATATATATGTGTACATGTACATGTACAGGTACATGTTTGTGTCTATGTATATGTATATGTATATGTATATGTATATGTATGTGTATATGTATATGCATATGCATATGCATATGTATATATATATGTAAATGTGTATGTACATGTACATATTTATATCCGCAAATAACTACATACATATCACGGCATACCTGGTCTGTATCCACCGGTGCCTGTGAAAGGGTCGCTGGCACCACCTACCGACCCCTCGCCGATAGTAGTAGCGCTAGCGTTCTTGACAATAAACTGTGCAATTTCATCCAGATACTGCTGATTCAGCTCGTTCTGTGAAACAAGCCGAGTAAACCAGGTTTGAAACATAGACCAAGTTCTCCCAATGATCCATTTCCTTATGATGATTGACAAAGAACTCGCGCAACACACCGTGGGGATGCCTTAAGGATGTGCATATCACTGCAACACGCAGCACAAACTTGGTTTGCAAAAAGTGGACAATCTCATCCCAGCACCCCAGTGACTGGGTTTGGAGCTGTTCTCCCCAACATACGTACGTCGTTGATGAAGTCCTGGGCGGCCTCGTATGGATTCTGGTTGCTGTTGTAGGGCAGCTTGAGCGGGGGAACCCCATCCTGTATGTCCACATCGAACAGATAGTCGTACTCCTTCCCATTGTACACCTGCTTTCGCCCAGACCCGACGGCATCCACTACTTCGCCTAAACACTGCCACCCATTCACGACCGACCACTGATAGCATTCAACCTGTGGCAAGCGAGAAAGTGTGCTTGAATTGAATACTAAAATTGCTTGTGCATACTTATACTCGAGTGAGTTCGCACGAATCATGTTTCAGTGTATGTGAGTGTGCGAGTGTGTGAGTGTGTGTGAGTGTGTGGTGTGCGTAATCTGTGTATCCACAATATCCGCTACCTTGCCCAGACACGCATAGGAGAGAAGATAAAGTAAAACGTAAGCTCTTATTTCCACCAAAGACCTCACGGACATAAACGTGAATGCGATAGCACTCAAAAGAGAAACTTAAGTAAAGGGCGAAAGTATAAATTTGCGATGCCATATATATGTATATATATATATATATATATATATATATATATATATATATATATATATATTNTAGTAGTATATATATATAGTAATAATAAGACGTAGTAA